ACACCCATCTGGAACAATCCTGACATCTTACAACAAAAAACTATGTTAAACTTYCCAGGTTGGAGATGTAAAGGAGTTGAACTCCTGGAACATATATTTGAGGGTGCAGACTTTGTTCCATTTAATAGATTAATAATGCAATATGGCATTGACAAGAAGAAATTAGAATATCAACAAATTAAATCTATAATAAAATCTAAATTTAAGCTCAATAATATTTTATTAGAAACACCATCAAGTATATTGGAATTTCTTCATCTTAAATCCCCCAAATTGTTATCTAAAATCTACAAAAAATTGTCTGGCATAGATGACTCAATATCGCAATAATGCAGCAAGAAACATTTACAAGTGTTGGGCTATCTGTGGACATGTCTGACTTTATTCATTTTCCTCCCACATATTTCCTGTTTCTTTCTCTTCTCTCTGCCATAAAGAGACTCCCACTGAGCTTTTAAATACACGCTTATATAAACCTCTCTTTCTACTTTTTCTCTGACTCCCCCACACATCCCCATCTGTCAGCATTATGCCCCCACATCTCTCAGCTGTAATTCTTGATTTAGTTTTTGATTCATTCCCTCATTTTTCTTCTTTCTTTTCTTTCTATATCTTTGTTCCTCTGTTGTTCTCATTTTGTTGTTCCTCTTTATTTACATTCTGCTGTTCTTCCACATCATGTCTTTGTTGTAGTCTGTACGTGTTTTATGACTTCACTACATCACATTCTCACTTAGCGCTGACATCTGCCTCCAGTGCATTAGAGCCTCATTACATTTCCATTGGTTTTATTGGGACCAAGCTTATGGAGGTGGATCAAGAGAGAAAATGTTGTTTTGACGCACCGGTTTGTTTACACTTGAACTAATTTGTTCTTTTTACTTTTGGTTTCATCAGGCAGAGGTGCTTTGTGGTGCCAGACGTAAAGAAGATTGTAGCTAACAGGAGTGTTTCTCTGTCTCTGCAGTATTGCCAGTGGATTTGGTGGGGCTTTGTTTGTCTACCTGAACCGACTGATAGTCCAGTTCATAAGAAAACAGAAGACCATCAATAAATTCCTCATGAAAAAGTAAGTATATCTGAGGAAGTGAGTGCACTTTCTTCTGAGGGGAATTCCAGAGGAGTCCAGCTGTGTTCTCTGCAGCACAGTTATCTCTACAACCTAAATGAGTCACAAATTGCTGGAGAATATGTTTTGTTGGTTATGTAGGCAGCTCTGAAGCTGTTTTTTAGAAAGTTCTGTTAAGACAGGACATTATTTCCATTTCCAAGATTTCACATAATGTGTTATGATAAAGTCATAATTTGGATTTGGGCTGGAATGATTGACCCAATGTAAAACTTTTAGGACATTTTGAAGACTCCCTTCAAAGGC